TTAACATTCCTCGAATCAGTTATGTGCATAACTATCTCTATCAAAGCCGACAAAGTACAGGACATCACACCCCTGCCTCCCCAAATTGCTCACTAGGCGCTAAGAGCTAACAAAACCCCTAAAAAACCTCACCTAGCAATCCTCACAAGAAAAAAAAAACAAGTAACAAACAAACAAACAAACAAAAAAAGCTTTTTGTTACTTGTGTGTCTTAACACAGCGCTCCATATAACTTGCCAAACACACATGCATTGTTGAGAGGGTTTTAGTTTTTTTAGTTAACATTTCCAAAACACATTAAGAAAGACTATTCCAATGCATGAAGATTTTACAATTATATTAGCAGTATTTCATCAACTGGAGCACACTTTGAAATAGGAATTAATTTCTTTAAATCCTGAGCAGTTTCAGTTTGGCAGAAAACATCTCAAAAAACTCTTTTCAAATCACATGAATATTGACTTTATTTCTTACTTGGTTGGACATAGTATATGCTAAAATAAATCCCTAACGCTATAAGACGTGACCTTCTTTTTTCATAGATCATGCCCTATTTGAGAGCAAGAGATTCAGGTTGCAAAAGACAAAACAAATACAGAGCTGAGTTTTAAGCACAACTCTCAGGGGATTTCTCACTGTAACAGCACCATGCTGCCAAAGGCATGTATGGACATGCCCTAAGGTCTCTCTGGCTATCCTCCCAAGGAGGCAAAGCAGCAAAATGAATAGTACTTCTGCTATACTGTGTTTACTATATGTAAAAACATTCTTTTGCAGAGCATAAATTGAGGATTATAGTTTTAAACAACAGCTCCAGGGCCAGATTGAATACTTAAACTCATCTGACAAAAAGAAGAAAAGGAACTAGGGCTCTATGATGCTGAATTTGGACACTTGATGCATATGGGGTCATGAAACTCCTATTAAGCGTCTCAAACCTGTTGTTTTGACCAGGTGACCTACTATCACAAATACTTTAATAGCTTTGAAAAAAATGACACATAAATATTAAAGGACAAATATAATTTAGGAGAAAGGTCCAACTCCATCATTTTTAAGTTAAACATCTACTGCAAGCAGAGTAAAATTCTTCCTGTGTGCAATGTGAAACCTCACAGTGTACACACAAAAAAACATTCAGCAGAAATTACTTGTGTGCAAACATAACCTTTCATTAAATGAGCTAGTAGGAAACTGGCCAGATTATAGCTAAGGGTAAAAAGAGTGCTCCTCAACTACCTTTTAAATTCTGAAACACTAAAATTATTGTTGGTACAGCTTCATGAGGATGTCAATTTTATATTCCTTTTCTGACTGTCCTAGAAAAAGATAAACTGTACATATAATTGGAAAAGCTGTTATATTGCTAACTAGAGAAAAGTTACAAAGCAATCAGAACTTGACTCTCAAGAAAAGCCAGACTATACATATTCCTACTCTACATAAACACAGGAAAAAGCAAGTATTTCAGCACAAGGAATGGCTTCATCTACAAATAGAGTTCTATGTATTTTTACATATGCTAAGGGAAATAAGTTTGAACAAATGGGAATCACACACCTGGAACAGTTTTTCATACCCAAGATATAGTCTGTGTTTCTTAAATAATTATTTAGTTTTGAAAAGAATTAATTTTAGAAGACATTTATTTTAACAATAACAAAAGAAAAGTTTATGAAAATGGAACTCTTTGAATGTGTCTGACATCAAGAATTCAATATGTTTGCCAGGCATTCAAGACTGATGCTGCAACAAGCTTTTTCAGTGGCACTGGAGCTGAGAGACCCACAGGTTCTGTACTTGGAGGCTCTGTAAGCAGTATGGTGACATCAGGTGAAAGAGAGCAGGCTCAAATCACCCTGGATAGGGTAAGTACACAACTGAAGGCCAATTTTTGAGATTTGATGCTGTATGGTTTCATCTAAACCATGAGCAGGGCAATTAGATGGTAATGTAATACAAAAGCTTAACTACTTCTCCCCTGCTATCAGCAGGAGCAGGATATCTCCCACTTTTCCATCTCTTCTGCAGAGAAGAATTTAAAAGCTCTGCCCCCTTTGCTGCCGAATTAACGCCTCACTGTGATAAGACTCCACACCTGGAAGTGGAAGGAAAAGTAAATCCTTGTTTCCACCTCCATAAAAGAGCTAGCTTTTCACCTGGGAATGCAGGACCACAAACATTTAAATCTTTCAGAATACAGTGACTTACACTAGATAGGTAAATACATACTGAGGTAAAATTTCCAGGAACAGCTACTATTTCTAAGAGCTATTGGTCTCCTGACCATGCATAAATAGCAATAAGGTTAGTAAGATTAGTGTAGTTACTCCATCAGTGTAGTTACTAAACACTTTCTGTTTTAGGGAGTGAAACACAAGCATGTGAGAATGAACATTTTCTGATTTTTTGATTGACTTTTCTCTGTGAGATATCCCACTACAAAAGGAAGATGTACTATCAAGTCTTGGTAGCAAATCCTGTTTCAGCTACTGTAGTTCATAAGCTTTTTACATCTGTTTTAACTACTGCCACTAAGTGCCAACTTATCCTTAAGTTTATCTCTTTTCTACTTTAGAAAGGTTCTCAGGGAAAAATCTTAAAATCAACAAAGTAAGAATCTTGGAAGTCACTAATTCCAACCATTTGTGCCATGATCCTACACTACCCACACTTTCACAAAGCCATCACGAAATCTCCCTTTATGCACCATGTAAATCGAGCAAAACCGAGCTAGAGTAAAACTAATGTAGACCTCCACTTGAAATAACTGTACTTCCAATTAATGCTGATTACTGTTAGATTTAATACAAAAACTAAAAGCCCTCCCCTAGACTGGAAGAATTGTGAAAATGGCAGCTGAGGTGGAATTAAAAGCACAGAGCAAGAAATCTGCAGTGAGTTTGTTGAAGCCACTACAAATAGGAAGTAGTCAGCAGAAGGAAAACCTTCCCTGTCAAATGGTAGATGAGGAAAGATCATAATTTTAATAAACTTTATTTTAATAAACTTTATTCCTCTTCCCCTTCCTCTTTTACACTCATATATATATATATATATATATGCAGAATGTGCTTAGGAGCAAAAGAGTGGAGCTTCAAAAATCACTCATCAAACAATTGTGCTACTTTTAATAATTTTTTAAAGGCCCTAAAACAAAGATCAAAAGGGAATATATCTAAGCATTTATATTCAATTCCACATTGCCTGATGACTAATTTGTAAAGAGTGCAAAAGTCTTCACAACTGCAGCCAAAATCATTCGAGGATACTTTGATACAATGCCACAAAGGATATGAGCAGGAAGGCAGCAGGAGTTACAAATGGCCAAGTTCCATTAGAAGTGCTAATAAAAGAATAATGGAATTTCCTTGTACTATGAATAAAAAGTGTTTGGTACAGGAATATTTAGACATGGAGAGGAATATCAGAGCTTTTAGTTCATCAGTTGTGTCTCCTTATTAGATCTTACTTGTTATTACATTTACCTTAAAATGCTTCAGTTCCAAAAAGCAACAATCCCATTCAAAATCTCATCACACAATTTTCCTTTATTCTTCATGTCTCTCCATTTTCACAGGCCCTTAATATCTGGTTTACCAATCCTTGTAAATAATGGGAGACTATCTATAAAAAAGTACTTTGAAGTGATGGGTTTAACTTGAAATTATATATAATTATTAAAATTATAGAATATACCTACTGATTGACAATACTTTTTTAAACCATAAATTTTCAAGCTGCTAGTAGCTACAGAACTCTCATAGCAACAACCTGATAAATTTTATCCATTAATTTACACACTGTACTTCTTTCTCATAGACATATGTGCAGCTACACACATTTATGCATATGTTCAAGCAAAGAGATAGGTGCACATACATACACACTTCTGCCACCTTCTTCTCCCAGATATAAAACCTAGCTGACTTTTCTAATGTATTTGGTACAGGGCCAGAAAGAGAAGAGGTAGAGTTCAAAACTTTCCTTTGAAATGTCCAAACAGCAACAGAAACGTTTCAAATCTTCCTTTGTTTTAATGGATACTTGCAAAATCACACACACTTCACAAAACAGAAGCAGCAAAGATAGACATCTCATGCTGCTAACAAATTGTTAAAGAGTTTTGTGCACTTGCTTAAAAAATATGCCCACAGATGCATCCAAGATAAGAGGAACTCCCCAAAAACATTTACAAATTTACTTAACTCTCCTTCAATCTGCTGCTTAATGCCCTCTTTTGCATAAGGTCTACAAGAACCCCATGACATAGTTATTGCACAGAAATGCTGTGATCTATGTCTCTTGGTTCTCCAAAATCTTCTTGTAACAGCTTTATTTTTTTATTTCACATTGCAATGTCTTTAGGGAAGTAACCATTTTTTTTCCACTTAGCATGAATTATAATATATAATATTTTTTTGTTGTTGTTGTTGTTGTGGCTTTTTTGTTTTTGTTTTTGTTTTTTTTACCAGAGTTCCCAGACTTTACAAATAAGAATCAAGTTATAATGTTTCTGTGCATTTCTTCTTCTTCCCCCAGACAACCAGCAGGCTGCTAGCAAAGCAGCCTCTTCAAACCACGCTCCCAGAATCAATAGATAATTCACGAGTATCATGTATCTCAGGGCCTAATTGACACAACAGGCTAAGCAACATACTCAAGGGTAACACGGTTTCTAAAGAGAGAGCAAAAAAGAGGGGAATCCAATACCACATATGGTCACTTTGCAGGATTTAGTGTCAGTCTATAAATTATACTAGACTTCATGAAGTTAATGTCAATCATGGGTTTCACAAATCAGAAAATGCACCTTCTCAAGCTTGGCTTGAAGAAACAAAGAAACATCTATACGATAGCAAAATCTAAGTAAAATGAATACCCTCGCGCTTTCAATTTTATTACTTACTCTCATTTTTGTATTAAACATTAAATATAGTTATCACAAATGTTTGGAATTTTTCTTAACAACAAATATAGGTAGTATATTTTTTTCTTACCTTATGATCATATGGATTGTATGAATGAAACAGCTGGGACAGATCCTTTGTTCTCTGTTTTTTCTGTAAAGGAATATTAATAAATAGACCATATTAGAAAAGTTAGGGGAGAAAAAGAGACTACTGATTAAATAACCTGTATTCAGGTACAAACAAATTCTCCCCTCACTTTGTTAATGGAACTGTAGGTATGAAGAGTGGTGTATGCAGATGAAGGACATTAAATATTAGAGGAAATAATTAACATATATATTAACAATGTTAAGAAAATATCCTTAATAAATAATAAACACTAATCTGTGGAACATCAGTGGAATGTGTAAACAATTCAGATTAGTTTTAATTTTGCACAATAAATTTTAAATAACATTTTAGAATACAGATAACAAAACTTAGAGATTAGGCTACAATCTTGCAAAGACTTGTCTACTGTTCTAGCATGTACATGCAGTCTTGCCTTATAGGAGATTAGGTTTAAAGGAAGTCAGTTTAAAGAAGAATAATTTATTATTTTTTCTATTTCTTTTGATGCTAATACTCTCATTGCCTTGATTGTGGAAAATTAATAGGTGATATGCCATTTAATGCCAAGGCAAAGGGAAAAAAATTTCTTCTGTCAAGAGCATAGTTCAAAGACAAAACCTGCTTAATCCAGCTTCTACTGAATTTAATGAAAGAGCTTTCAGTGATTTCAGCTGATGTTAACAGACTCTCTCAGCTGCATCCTATGGAGTGGGGGCAGGGAAAAGAGAAAAACACCCTTCATCTTTAATGCAGGGATGAGTCACAAATAAGTTCAAAGTTTTATTATGTCAAAATCAATGTTTACTTATATTTTGGGAAGGCTATGCGTGTTGGAAAATGTGTTAAAGGCGAGACAACTGCATGAACTCCTTGCTTGTAGTTTGTACCAGTGTCTTATTTAGCCATCATTTCTGTAAAAATAATTTTCCAGCTAAATTGGTGGGATCTGTTCATGTTTTCAGCATACTGGGAACTAAATAGACAGCTGCATGACTGTAGTATTTATTTTAACTTCTGGAAACTATGGAGCAATTTAGTAATTTTTGATTGTACAAGATAAACTATGTATATCCTTTCTTTACTCAGCTTTTATTTTCAGTGAAGCATTCAGCAACTTAGTCATAAAAGTGGTAACTTCTGTTACTAGCACAAATTTATGACATCTGGATATTTCTGAATCATTAAAGATATCAGATTAATATTACTACTTTTGTCAGGTATATATATACCTATGCTTTAGACCACTGAAGAGTCAAGAAAACAAATTTTTACTCACTACCCCTCTTTAAGGTGAGGGAGAATGGTAAATTTTGTTTTTAGTATGCAAAGGTTACTTCTGTCATTCACAATTGTATTCAGTTACTATAATTAATATCAAACAGGACTCATTTCTCTGAGATTGATACAGGGCTTTAAAACCAACAGAAGTTATATTAAGAAAGACATTTCTCAGTACAGACTTTCTCAGCAACTGAACATGCCTTTGCCATAGAAAAGATCTCCCTTGATAGAAGAAATGTCACCCTCTAACCCTCATTTGATATTTCTTTTACTTCCACTGGGGAAAAAACCCCATGCTCAAATGAAAGCATCAATCCAAATTCCAAACCAATGAACCTACAGTTCAAATCACCAACTTAAAATGGCTTCTTTCCTGGTAGTACCATTACACACAGTCAAAATGCTTAAAATACTATAAAGATGATTTGGAGAAATGTGATAATAAATTAAAAGGAGATATCAAAATGATTAATAAAAATATTGCTTAAAAAACTTATTTAATGTTGTAACATGCAAGAAGACAAAAGCATTTTACTATGGATTATGGAGGCCTTCACTAATCTTTCCAGGAAGAAAACCCTACGAAATTCAGAAAAAGTCTAATTCTTGCTTTTTTTCCTGAAGACTATGTCTCTTGTATTCATTTTGACTGCAATAGCTTTAATAACACACAATAAAACTGTATGACAGAAAATGTCTACCTTTCACTCTCAGACTTTCACCAAAATGCTGGCTACACACTCAGCTAGACTAGATGAAGAATGAAGATGGCTTCCCTTACACAACACACTGATAGTCTTCCACTTTTTATTATGGAAAATTATGGTTCCTTTCCTGCCTTTCCACAAAAATTTTGGGTTTTGTACAAAACCAAAACACTCCTGACTAGGGAAATGCTGAAAATCCATAACACAGAAGAACATGGAATAAAACTTCTTGAGATGCACAATGCATCTTGAGATGCAAAAATGTCCCAAAATTCCCAGGATGCCCCATATGCTTAGCTGATGTAAATCTAAAAAGCATTCGACTGTTTTGTATGGACTCTGAATACACAAAGATAAAAATGCCTTAAGCAGAGAATAAAGGTTGCTTAGTGATAATTTGTGTCTTTCTAGAACACCAAGTGCAGTTAAACTCAGACCTTTAAAAACCAGAAATATAAGACATTTCAAAACACAGAGACTAAGGACAGAACAAGGAATTCATGCTGCTCTAATGGTAACCCTTTCAACAGAAAGTACTTCAGGAAAATAATAAATTAAATAGCTATACCAAATGCTAAACATTGTAAGCTCACACATGTATATTGCACTTATCTGGTGATCCTCTTTTCATAGTCAGGTGATAATTACCTGTCTTTCAGATGATTTTAATGTAGTCTAAAACTTGTTTGTTTTCCTTTCAAGCATGGTATCGTAGGTCTACAATGTTTATTGTGAAGGAGAACTACAATATTGCCAAGGTATTTTTATTACAGATTACTTAGAAGCTACTTAAATGGAATATTGTCAGTTTTCATCTAGGAATAAAAGGGACAAAATTAGTCCCCAATATGAAGGTATTACTGATTTCCTTTAGCCTTAACTTTCAATTTAATAAAGTCTATTTTCACCTTCAAAGTTCTCAATAATTTCAGCCTAATACTGCGACAGATCTGCAGATTCTAGCAGTTCCATTGAAGGTGTCAGCCTCAATATATCGCCAGCAAAGTTCTCCTATCTCTGTTTTTTTTGCTCCCATGATTTAAAATCCCTCCAGTAATTGGGGCTGCCTTCAGTAACAAGGACACATACCTCTTCTGTTCAAATATTCTTCTTTTCCTTCATGAGCACAATGAATAAGAATGTGTCAAGGCACCCAAATGAATGTCTTTTTCAGTCCTCTTCCCTCACCTATCAATCTTCTCCCTCACTTCTCTTCTACATACTGCTGATCAGAATTAATAAAACAATTTTATATTGCCACTGGAACCTTATTTAATTTAGAGCTTATAGAGTATCTCACACCGTTGAGCAAGTTAACAACCAATAGCAATACTGTGTTTTTCTTTCAAACAAGTCTGGAAAATCCACAATACCTCCTTCTGCAGTATCTAATGGATTGCACAACTAAGAGTTAAAACTACATTAAACTTAGTGAGTCCAGGAAAAAATTAACTTTGGGAGAAGAGTGAAGCAGCTTTGCAAGTATTTTCAGTTTTCTTCATCAGTATAACTGAAAGTATAGAGACTGCAGCATAACAGACACTTGCAAAAACCATAAGATTGGAGCTTTCTTTTCTGAAACAGCAACGTCTAACATGTTTTGTGCTATGGCATTCTCTAACTTCAGCAACATGCATTTTCTGACCAGTAACAAAGCTGTGTCCTTCTTTTTCCCTATGTTACATCTGTGATCTCAAAACTAAAAAGGCCTTGAGGAGTTCTAAACTCCGAACTTCCATAAAACAGAATGGAGTTGGGAGCACCCTATATAAAAACACCAACTGGACTAACTTTAATCTCCAAAGAGTTCCTTGGCAAAACATCAGTGAGAGAGATAGTAACTCCTCCAACCAAGGCATATTTAAAAGCCTTGCTTGGAGATTCAATCCATAAAGCCTTAAATCTATGTACCTATAACCACAATACAGATATGAGCCAAGCCACTGGAACCGTCATGTTATCGAAGCTTGCAGATTGCTTTTTGTTCTGCAAAACAACTTTCAAAAAAGTGATCAGAAACCAGTGAACCGATCTCTTTTGACCTTGAGTTATTCAGTGCATCACCCTCTTGGAAATGATCCTGAAAAAACCATTGTGCCCCAGCCAGATTTCTTGATAAAATCATCACTGGTGTTCATTATGCTCTTGCATCTGTGCCCTGTAAGGTCTGAAAGGGCAGAAGTGACAATACAGGCCTGACAAGTTTTCTGCTTACTAGAGCTAACTCACTTCTACTGATATGCTTCCTGTCTTTCTGGTCACATTTATAACGAAGTATACAAAATAATTTGGTGATTGGCTAGTCTTTTTGATCTAACTTACCTGAATTACTATGTTAAAACAGACTCACTGTTCTACTTCAATTACTGACACACGCACATATTCAACTTGCTTTAAGAAATTACTTTCCAATAATTTTTGATCCATCCATTGAAAATACCACATCCTGTACAGTGTGTTATTCAGCACTTCCTCTCTATCTTACAGGATAATGGACATTTTTTCCAACTCCAATTAACAACAGAACTATACATTGATAATTCATCTTGTATACTCTTATACTGAGCGATTCTTTCTAAAAAAATAGAACAGCTTTATGATTTCATGCAATGTGTTTTTCTCTAAAACAGGAAAATATATAAAATTTTACACACTTTTCCTAACCATTAATACTAGAAAATGATTGCAAACATTAAAGCAATCCTGTCCTCAGGATTATAGCAACACAAATGGTTTAGTCTACATTTTATGTAGAGATTCTGATATATGGAAAATTACAGATATTTTCAAAAAACAGCACAGGATCTTCATAAGAACATCTGCCAACCTATTTGAAAATAATTTCTTGAAGGATTCATTTTCAATTAAACCATGTGCATTGCAATTTCCTCCTTATCTCCCATATAATTTCAGCTATGTAATACAGACTCTTCAAACCCATATATTTTACAAATATTGCTGAATTTTATTCCTTCTGGTACATTTCAGTTATTTTAATTTAGTTTAGCATTAATTTGTTATTCTTGTCATTTTTCATTAGAGAGATGGGCA